TTCCCCGCCCCAGGCCTCTTCCCCTCTGCTGTGCATCCTTCCGGGGGTTCCTCCTGCTGCCTGCTGTCTGGCTCAGCCCCACTCCCGCGGTTTAACTGCAACTGGCGGTGCCTCATCCCATCTCCACTGCCCTGGCCTCCCGTCTGGGCTTCACTCTGTTCATCTGACCACTGGACAGACATGTCAGGAACCCAAACACAGAAGCCCTGCCCCTACCCCTCCATGCAGTATTTTCTTTATCTGTTTATGGCACTAGCACCCACAGGTCACCACAAGGCAGAACTTGGAAACCGCCATCTCCTCCCAACATCCGGTGGCTGACTGAGACCTGCTGTCGCCGCTGAGCGTCCTTCACATCCAGCCTCCTCTCCTTCCCCATCGTCTCTTCGCAGGATACTAAATCACCCTCTTGCCTCTGGTTTCCAATCCACCCTTTTCTCTGCCACCGGAATGAGCTCCCAAACAAATCTGGCCACAACATTCTTTGCCTTCAAGTCTTTGCCTACAGAATGGAATCCCAGTGCCTCACCGTGGTCCACAGGTTTTTTGTGACCCAGCTTCCAACACTTCGTTCTTACACAGCTTGTATCACACCTGGCCTTGCTGTGTTGGGTTAACCCCCAGGGTCCCACAGGGCCCTGGCCTTCTGTGTGCTGCCTTCCTACCCTGCTACCAGAGGAAGGGGCTCCGTCTCCTGAAGTCCTTTCCTAACTTGTACACTCTCCTCCTGTGACACAGTTCACACTCAGTTTTAACTGTACTTTGTGTTTGTCTTCCCTCTTCGACCATAAGCTCCTGTGGAGGATTCATACATTTCAGCTGGTCCTTCCAGAGCACAGGGTAGGTGGCTCAACTCTCATCTCCCCACAACTCTTCCAGAAGTGGCCACAGCCCCCTATTTTTACTCCTGCCTACGGTACCACCTTGAGTCCCTGGGAGCCAACCTTTGAGAGGCAGACTTTGGTTCCCAGTGCTTTCACCCTCCCCCGTTCCAATCCCCCCACCGCTAAGTTAAACCTCCTTTCAGTCCAGCCCCAGGAGGGGAAACCAGTTTGGGAAGTAGGTGGTTATTAGAGTAAACAAACAAAAAGTGGAAACTAGCTGCCCGGCAACCTTTATAGGAATCCTTTTCTGATTACAGTCACAGCAAACAATGGGCTATTTACTCGCTCTGCTGAGCTGTAAGGGAAAGGAGGAAATTGTTATCTACCCCACCCCAGCGGGTAAGCAGGCTTAGCGCCCCGAGCAGATCTCCCGGGAAGGGGCCCGGCTTTCCTTGGTCAGCAGCAGGGAAATGAAAGGCACACACAGGCTCCTTCTGTTGTCTGCCTTCCACCACCAGTGCAAAAGCTGCTGCTACAAAGTAGGACTTCCCATTTGGGGTTTTGGCTTTATTGGTGTTATTCCAACGTTCGGTGACTTTTCCCAAGTCAAGTAGCCCCTAATTGCTTCCCTCAGAGCCTTCTTTCTCATACCTGCCCAGTGGTTTGACCCAGCTCATTAATGGACAAATTATTACTGAAGTCTATGACTTCCAGGCAGGAAGTAAGCTGTGAATCCCACAAACACCCGTGACACTCTCTCNCCAGTGGTTTGACCCAGCTCATTAATGGACAAATTATTACTGAAGTCTATTGACTTCCAGGCAGGAAGTAAGCTGTGAATACCACAAACACCCGTGACACTCTCTCTCCATTAAAAAAAAAAAAATCTTATTCTAACACTCAAATGCATTACTAGAACCAGTTTGGCAAATTAAGTTTAATATACAGATACAAAACAACAAATATAGATTCACAGCATTTACAAGAAATTATTCAAATAACATTGTAAATATATATATATAAATTTTTACAAAAACTTCATTCAACAAAAATACATATCAAGTTACAGCAATCTTGTTCAACATCTTTCAGAGGTCAACAGCCAAGTCATCAGTTTGGAAGCTGTCACAACTTATACGGATACACCATCTTGACACCGATGAGTTAAAATGAAAAGGTTACCCAAAGCCTTGCAAAGTAGGTAGGTAAGTCAAACATGAATGATGTGAATACTTACAAAAATGACCAATTATGAAATCACAGAATCAAGTTAAGTACTTTCTAAATACAAATGTTGATGCCCATGGAATAATTATAAGCAATATTGTTACATGTACTGTCGCTAAGTATATTTGCATCAAATATTTAAACTTTTGGGTTTTTCAACATCAGACAGTTTTGTTTTGTTTTTCCCCAAATCTTTTAAATTCTACTTTACCACATCCATCCTGAGAGCAGCATTAGCCACGTGGAATTTTAACAAGGAGAACAATCTGTAGGATAAGCTTATTACAGGGACAATTGTTTTTGTGCGGTTTAACCTCGTTGTTTTGTGTCCTGTAGCCTTGAAAGGACATTTATTCACGCTTGCTGGCACTGTCCTGGGAGAGACACATCTGTTTCTCTCGTCAGCAATTTCCCCCCAAACTCCAGGTAATCAGGCTGTTCTCTGGCTAAGTAAGTTGATTTTATTGGGGAGTATCAGCAATTTGGGCAATATAAAGACTTCCAACTGATAAAATACAGCACCACCTGGATTTTACAAATGATTTCTACTGTGAACCAAATTTTCAATTAAGTGCACTTCTGCTCTGTCTAGAAAACAGCACTGTCTGTTGGAGGGGGATTTTTCTGAACAGGCACAGAGTTAGTCTTCATCTAGATCAGGTATACAAAGACACAACAATATTCAGAAATAGTGGGGAGATGGAAGTGAAATGTTTTAAACTACAAAATCAGATCTGACCAGAGGACAAATAGATCAGATCTACTCAAAACAAACTATGCAGATGGTCTCATCAAAGCTCTGGGCAGCTGCTGGGCAAAGCTTTCCAGTTTGCAGGCCAAAGACAAAGAATGCTGCTTCTCCAGGACTTTATAAATATTCTACTCTATGGCAGCTTATAGCACTGCGAGGCTGCCCTATGCCTTAGGTCTGATGAAGGTTGCTCTTGACCCAAGGCCATGGCAACTGTCTTTCAAAACGGTTGGCAAATTCTGAAATATGAATAACAGTATTAGTGAAATTCATCAAAAGTCTCTATCATCTTTTTTTCTTTTGGTCCACCATATTACGCAATGTAGGGTAAAAAGAGAGAAGACAGAAAGCGAGATACCCAAAGAAAGTCATACATAATCTGTATAGAAGGCTCTTTATTTTTCTCTCTACTTTCTGAGTGGAACAAGAAAGAAGTTTGGCAAACCAGAATCAGAATGCTTGAGCCATCTGTTCTTTATAGAACTCAGGCATTTGGTAAAACCACCGAAACTGGACATACAGACTTAAAGAAGTCAAAGGACATTCTATCATTTTAAATCTATTTTAGCAGTTTTCAAAATCACCAGGATCCACCCAGAACTCGTATTTGACCAGGTGATTCTCACACAGTACAGAGCTGACAGGGCAGCCTGGGGGCCCTAAGGGCTCTGGTATCCGAGCTTCCTGCTCCTGTTGGGACCCCACTGAGCGAGAGGTGGGGACCAAAGTTAGGGCTCAGCTGGGAAATAAATCAGGACTCATCTCAGAACTTAAAGTATTTCTTCATTGCTCATTAATAAATATTAGTAAGTGGAAGCCTTCTGAGTTGTTCTTTACTTGCTGAGTCCTCACTAAAAATATAACCTAAGCAAATTCTGTTTCCTTAACATAATTCTCTTGTATTAAAAAAAAAAAAAAACACAACCAATTGTTCAAAACTGCTGTATATACAAACAACTCTATTAGCACAGAGACCCCTACAGTTATTGCTGAGGGGTCCACAAAAAGCATATTTAGCATAGTTTATAAAATGTATCATTTTTGTTAGCAAAAATGTCAGTTACATAAACGCAACTAAATTGAGATGTCTATTCAAAATTGAAACACACATGCATGTGCACATGCAGTTACAGCACATCCTGAGAAACCTCCTCACAGAAGCAGCCTCTATCCTGGGACACTCACTAGAAGGTTTACAGAAACGGCCCAGGGACACTGGCCTGGAGCAGCATGGCCTTCCAGCAACACTGCCTGGAAGTGGGCACATGGAGGTGCTCAAGAACAGGGACGATTTCCTGACAAACGTTTACATGTTGCTGCTCTAAGCCTTCCTGGAGAGGCCCAGGATGGTGTCTTCTTGTTGCAGGATGTGACTTCCTTCAGGAACAGTTCTGGGCATGGGAGAGGGTGAGGGAGGGGATGAACCACACGCCCAGAGACTCAGATTACACCTCTGTGTCTGACAGTACAGGTCTGTTTATTCTCAAGCATGGGTCTAGTAGAAAAAAGAACTTTTTGAGAGTAGCATACAAAAAAGAAGATTTTCAAATAGAAAACCACAAATTGTGTCATACAATCCCTGCCCCCTGGTCCAGTGCACTAAGTCCATTACAATGGCCTCTCTCTTTAGAGTCTGTCTTCTCCAACACATTGGAGAAAAGTTATTTTCATCAAAATGTACAACATAGACAAAGACTAGGAGAAAACTGTTGATAGGTATCAGCCCATGTGGCCCTCGTTACAAAAAGACTGCTATCTCGAGTCTAGATATATTTTGTTAAGGTTTCTTTTATAAAGAGGGAAGCCTCAGAAACCACTTGACATGCTAATAATGGCACAGTTAGCACTACTGTTTGGGTTAATGCAACCAAGTGAGCTACGCATGCCAGCAACTAGACTACTGTGAAGCTCATGCTTTCTCAGGGGGATGTCAAAGTCATCTAACTTAATTGGTGCCGGGGCCACGAACAACTGGTGGAATGAGAATGCCTTTCAATCAGTGCATCTGCATATTCCCTTGATCATAAAACTAAAGTAAATGGGTTTTATAGGTTTTATATTGCAAACAGATATTTCTGAATAGAACTTTTAGGTTATGACTTGCCAGTAGACACGGTTTCTGCTCATGGGGTTCCACACTGCCTGTGGGCAGGAGAGCATCTGACTTGAGAAGGACTGATCTAGCCCGCCGCAGGATGCCCCTGCCTCCCTCCCTGGGAAGCGGCCTTATACTTAGGGGGCTGAAGTCGCTCTGCATTGCAGAGCTCCCTGTGAGAGGCTCATCCTGCTTGTCCCTCCAGCTTGGCAAGATGAAGCCTGCTAACTACCATTTGGCAACTGTGTGGATTCAGATGACACCAGGTAACACGTCTGCACCAAGTCCCCTAATACTATGGAAAAGAGGAACAGCTTACCCGTGCCAGTGACGGGCAGTACGGTCCCAACCCCAGGACGACCATTCCCTTCAAATCAAATGCAAACATGCCAAGCCATCTTGCCCTTCCTCGCAGCACTTGGGCCTGGGCTGTAGCACCAGCACTCGTCATCAGCGAGGCTGGCAGGGTCACTGCCCAGCGCTCACTTTAGAGCGTATCACCAGTTTCTTGGTCTCGGCCACCTCAGCACAGGTCACAGAAGGTTCCTGTGTACATGGAAGCATCATCACCTTCTCCCTGTTCCAAGGAGGCAGCTGGTCTCTGGGACTGAGGGGAGCCCAAGTCCTTCTCATCTTTCTGCATCCCCAAAAGCAGTTCCAGCACTGGGTACAACAGACCGTCCGTCCTTGGGTTGAGCACAGAAGGAACAATAAGGTCCTCTTCACGGCCACCTCAGTGGACATGCGGCCCTCCCGCCTTCATTTCTTGAAGGGGGTGAGTTTATGGAAGGTGTGCCAGAACAGCGACGGCTTCCGCTTGGGTTCTGCCAGGGAGAAGACCTGCTGCTGAGGGACGCTGGTGGGCACGGTGACATGGCGCTGGTGGATGGGATGCAAGCTCTGGTGCGGCGGGGCCACGGGGCATCCGCTGTAGCCTAACTCAAGAGAGGAGGAAGATGACAGAGGGACTGAGGGTCACTTTAACCGAAAAAGAAAAAACAATGCCAAGATTGAAGCTCTTAGCTGATTCTCAATTCACATTAACTGAAACTACATCTGACAGCTATCGTAACACGTTTGGTCCATACTGTGTCCAGTGTGGATGTGACATAGATTATCTCACTGAATCCTCAAAAAGATCCTTCCAGGAAGATACCATTATAGCAATGTGACGAAGAAGAACACTGAAACCAGAGAGGTTATGTAAATGACCCATGGTCACACAGCCGTAAGTGGCAGCATTAGAGCTGGACTGCTGTTTGGGATGAGAAGCAATAACATACCGCTCAGCCCAGATCCTACTCTGCCACTTACTAGCTGTAATTATTTGGGAAGTCAGTTGATTTCTCTGTGTCTCAGTTCTCTAAATCTAAAGCAGGGATGACAGTGCCTACTGGGTTATGAGAATTAAACGAGTTAATTAATGTGCCTAGAGTTGTGACCCAGATGCCTAATTAGTTTAATCAAAACTATTTTATTAGAGTTTTGTGCATTTTAAATTTGTGCAGAGGTCATTAAAAAGGCTTATCAGAATTAGCTATAAGACCACACAGTAACTGTGAAAGTCAGCATGAAAAGAGGAAAGAGTGTGGGTTTTGGAAGGAGCCAGGACCTCGGTTCAGAATCCATCAGCGCCTCTGACTCGCCCTAGGCTTTCCTCATTGCCCAGGACGGCGGGGGATGAATCACAGAGCCCGAGGAATGTGCCGACGGGCGACCATCGTCCTGTTCCTCAGGGGCCTCACCGTTAAGCTCGTGACTCTTGGAAGATACAGAAATGAATAAATTGTAACAAATTGGTATTTATTGGTCACCTGCCATTAAAGTGGAGACATAAAAAACAATAGTGGGTTTTCCTCCTTGAACATATTTATAACTTAGGGGGGAAGTTGTGCATCTGAGTAGAGGGCTCAGCACTCTAGAGCATGTCACCAGTGAAATGCTCTAAATGCAGGGAAATGTTGAGTGTTTGGTAATGAATTCTTGGCTCAGCAGTTGATGGCTTATCACAGTCCTGGGCTGAACTGATCCTTGCTTTTGCATTTTCAGTTAGGAAAATACTGAATGCGATACATTTCATAGGGTAATCCCCCAGGAGTCAATCTGAATTAAGTTTATAAAATACAACACTTTTGGAATAAAGATCTTCAGTATTTCTGTGGGGATACAATATTAGTATTATCTACTTGAGGGAAACCTTTGCCTGCACATCGGGCCCTGGGGGTATATGCCCTGGGGGCTGGTATTTTTAAACAGCTGCCCCAGCCATTCCGATGTGCACGGAGCGTAGAGAACCCCTGCTCTAAATGAGCTAGTGTGTCTTTTTTCTTAGCTCATTGTATGATGTATAGAACTTTTAGATCTTTTTTCTTACTTAACCTAGAATGTAGCCTGCAGGGAACATGTGGTTGGGGCTGGAGATTCCTCCTCACATGCTGCAAAGATGCAAGAGTGACCTGCCTCAGACTAGTGAACGCTGACCTGGCGATGCCACATCTCCTCAGAAGGGGATGCCCAGAGGGGCTGTGGGCAGGACAGGGAGGTCTGGACGCTCTTGGCTACCAATTCAAAACCCCTTTTATAGACTCATAGGCAAATGTAAGCAAAAACAGAAGCACGTTCAAATCAAATGCTCATTATGGTAAAACTGTCCGTTATTTTGGATCTATCATTTTGAGCATCACCCACCTCTTCTCCTTCATTCAGAGTTGGTCATATGCTAGCAACTTTGAGCCTTTCCCCAATTTTAATTCCGGTGCTGAGATGCATTACGGAGACGAAGGCTTCTGCAGAACTTACCTTTGGATTTCCCATGTCCCGCCTTTTGAGCATTTAGCATGGCAAGTTTCTTTTGGTTTTCGGAAATTTCCATTCCTAGATTTAGAAACAAAGGTAATATGTATTCAAAACAAATGAAAACATTTCAGAATAAAACTTGCACCATAAGCCATATTACCCCTGAGGTATTCGCCATAACCTGAAGCAAAGAACCTTAATCCTTGATGAAGCTGAAGAGGTTGAAAAGACTGGGAAAGGAAAAGGAAGGAGCCAGGACTATCACTAAGACACTGGAAAGGCTGAAACGGGGTGCTGCTGGCACCTGTGCAAACCCAGACAAGCGTTCATACAGAGTCACCCTAATTATCACCCTAACGGACAAGGCCCTGGGAGGAGAGGACAAATCAAAGGGGCCCCTGTCTGCTCACCCACCTGCTGTGAAAGCTGAGTGAGTTTTGATTGTCCGCTGAACACAGGTAATACCTGAGTAATGGGAACTGGATTTTGCACCAACTGGAGACAGCATGAGGAGAGGCAAGGACAGAGGCAGAGGAGGCTAAGGCTGCCGGCCTGGACCCTGCCCTGAGGGAGGCTTCCTCCTGTGGAAGGAGACCTGGGCTCTGCATCTGCATTCTGTTGCCTGGGGTCACTCACCATGAGGGCTTGCCCTCCACCTTCAAACACTCTGCTCCCTGTGCCTTGGTTCCTCCACATGCCCCATATCTGTCCCTAATGGGTCCTGACATCTCCTTCAGGCTCCGTACACCGAGACCCTGGGTTCTACTGCTCCTAGGCACACTCGGCCTTGCCTTACTCCCACCTTCCATGCCCCGCCTGGTCAATGGCACGATCACACAATGTATTGGGCACCTAGGCTGACACAACATGCCAGGCAAGAGCCTGGAGTGGTCCCATTTTCGTCCACTCTCACCCTGATCACAGACTTAATGGCTCCAGGAGTGCCTAACTCACTCACTCATTCACTCATTCATTTGTTCATTCATTCCTGTCTATCTTCTGAGCACTGAACTGCAGAGGTACGACATCAGGTCCCTCCTTGCTTCTCCTGCTAAGGGGCAGAGTTGAGCAGCATTTAGAATACCCTTGTAACATGTGGTTCTATCTGAGGAAAAAACAAAACACTCCATCTTATGAATGATTTCAGGGCCCTGCACTAGACAACACTATACGGCAAGCAAGATTAGGGTTTTGTGGCTCTCTCATTTTGTATTTGAATATGTGTGACCTTCAATTGTCTGAAGAACTCTTGGCACAATGGAGTGATGAGACTTATTCCAGTGAGGTCCGAAAGTCAAAAGACGCACCAATATATGGAAGCTGCTGGGGATCAGCTTTCCTCTGGGAATAAAGGGTACTTCCACTTAGTGGAAGGTAACCTGTTGCAGTAGCTCTGTCATTAGAGGTCGAGGTATGGGCCAGTGTTCACCTGTTAAGAGTGTTTAAGAAGAGATTCCTGCTTCTGATGCCAAGTTAGTCAGACTGACTTGTAAAGCCCTTTCTACTCTAATATACGATCCCATGAAATCTCCTGTGGGTGAGGGCAACACCCATAGCCAAGCCTGAGGCCAGTGCTGGTGACACACACCACAGGGAGGGCCAACAGAGCAGCTCCTGGATTCATTCTAGCTTTCCTCATGGCAGTGGGCAAGAACAGAAAGGGGACGGCCTTCTCCTCCATCAGGAACCACACAGCCTTTGAGGTCTGGGCCCAGGAGGGCTGCACCGATGAGGATCCGTTATCCCACCTATCTCTAGGGGCCCAAGGACCCTGTGGCATCCTGACTTCCATTCAACAGTTTGTGCTCAAAATCCTACTGTGCCAGGGAGGCCCTGAGCCTGGCTCAGAGACCATGCTCCCCCTGTCAACACCAAGCTGGATGGTTTGTCTCATGCCAGTCAATACCTGCAGGGGAGCAGAAGCTGCAAAGACAAGTGTGGTCCTGAGTGTGGAGAGGTGTGGCCTGCACTGCAGCACAGGATGCTTCATGGCTGAGAGGAGGGAACATACAGGCAGGTGTGGAGTCAGAGTGGACCGTGGCAGCACATAAATTTAAGGTACTTGAAAGGCACAGCTGAAAAGGAAGCCTCAGGATCACCTGATACTTCTCATAGCCTGGGTAACAGTCACCAGAGTATGACTCAGTCCCCGGGGCACACTGAGCTGGTTTTAAATGTTACTTGGTCATGCTGTAAGAGTGGGCAAGGGCCTTAAGCCTCAATTTTAAAATCTGTAAAATGGGTATAGCAATAGTATCCACATTTTGAGATTAAATGAGATGATCTCGGCAAACGTGTAGCAGAGCACCTGGTATGTAAATGTTGACTATAGTGACTACATCTGCCACGGACCGTCTTGTAAACAAGTTTAGAAATATTTAGAATTTGCAAATCCTTTTCTTTTCCCAAGGGTGAGATTTAACACTGCAGGAGAGGGCTGGGGGATGAGGTTCAGAATCAGAGGCCAATGACACCTCTGGCCCTGAGGCACTGCTTACCCATTTCCTGGTCCTCCTGCACCCGTCTCCTTTCATTGGCATAAGCCTGCAGCCACCTTGCCTTGTCTTCTTGTTTCTTGGCACAAAATAGATGAGCCTCATCCGTGGTTTTGCTGACAAGCTTGAAGGCATTTTTCACACTGAGGTTCCAGTCCTTGTCCCGCCCGTCCTCCAGGTCCACGAGCTCCATGTCATCCATATCCATGCGGCCCCTGTAATAGAGCATGTCCCTGCGCAGTAGGTCCTTCTTGCAGGACACAAGCTGGTGGTCAAACAGAAAGAATGTCCGCTGCTGGCTCTTGCCTTGCTTAGTGATTCTGGTCAGCTCCCCAGAATGGATCAGTTCTGAACTTCGGTCTAAAATGTCCTGTCCCTGCAGGATGAAAACACACTGTGAGACCTTCCAATTCTTACTCCTCCAGGTGTCGAGGATATAGGCCAAGGCCCTGACCCAGAATTGTCCCCAGATATGTCAGGTGGCCGAGGCTCATTCACAGGCGACCAAGCCTCAAAGGCCATTTAAAACCTTGGTTTATTAGTTTTATGTGTGAGGTTTCTTTTTCTCCTACTCAGTGGGAGAATGTTACTGTGTCTCTACGTTATCTGAGGTGCCTGCCTTATCAGAAAGAGCGGCAAAAAGCCTGCTGGATTAATGGAGTCCAATCGAGGTCTGAAATGGCAGCTGACCAAGGCTGGCTCTCGGGGAATGAGGGCACAGGCAGGTCTGGGCAGGTGGGACACAGCCTACAGACACGCTGGCTTTGAGGCATGTGTGCAGCAGCTCCCTGCAATAACTTTTGTAGGGTCTTTGGAAACAAAAGGCCAGATGGCAAATTACCAGCAAGAAACAGCTGAACTTCTGACAATAAATGATCGCTCCAATGTCAGAGTCCAAGATTGGAAGGAAAACCAGACTTTTACCACATTTAGGGTGGGGCTAATCCAGTGGAACTTTATGGTATCTGGCATGACACCGGCTTTTAATTTTACAAATTGAGGAGTTTATTCTCCTCTCATCTCAATTATACACAACATACTTTGTAAGCAAAAGCTCTTGACTCCAAAATGCCTTTTCTATTTACTTGCCTCAAGCAATTCCATGCCCAGATTCTTCACCAACAAAATAAGAGCTAGACTCAGTGATCTCTGAGGGTCTGTCCAAGCTCCAAAAGGCTATAAAGCCCTTGAAATACAAGTATCTCTTTCAAACTTTCATCACTATTACCTACTTTAGCTAAAACCTAATTTCTCAACCTAAACTTTCACAATCCTTTGGGAAAGTGAGTTGTTTTCTTTTTGTTTGTTTTTTAATATATCTTTATTGATTTCAGAGAGAGGCAGGGAGAGGGAGAGACACAGAAACATCAGTGATGACAAAGTCATTGATCGGCTGCCTCCTGCACACCCCTGACTGGGGATCAAGCCCACAACCCGGGCATGTGCCCTGACCGGGAATCGAACCATGACCTCCTGGATCACAGGTTGATGCTCAACCGCTGAGCGACACTAGCCGAGCTGGGAGAGTGAGTTTTGACCAATTAGTTTGATGTAGAATCAATTTTGATTGTTCTAAAAATAATATGAACAGCATCAATTTATTATTCTTAATAATGGCCACAGAGCCTAGTGGTTGCCAGCATGGCCTATGAAGCCAGGCTGCCTGCCTGGATTTGAATCCAGTTCAGCCGCTTCCTAGCTCTGTGGCCTCAGCAAGCTACTTAACTCCGGGGCTTCAGTTGCCCCGTATGTTAAATGGGGATAATGTTTCCTACTTCACAGGACTGTTGAGGATCAAATGAGTTCATACATACGCATTGCTTAGACCAGTGTTAGGGTGTGGTAAACACAATACAGGCACTAGCTATTGTCATTGTTCTTGTTTTCATAAATAAATGTGTGTATGTGCAAGCATGCATGCTGGAGCATTATTACAGGCTGTACTAAGCACTGCATTTGTACTGTCTAATATAATCCTTGAAATAGCCCTATGAGGTAGGTAATCTTTCCTCTCCATCTTATAGATGAAAATATTGATCGCCCCCAGTTCACAGAGGAGTCACACCCAGGCAGGTGGCTCCACAGTCCGTACTCTCACCACACTGTAATTTGTATTCTAAATGTTTTCCAGCTGCTCTCATGAAGCTCACTCTCTAGCAGGAGAGAAGGCACAGGTGATAAATTAATTACAGACACTCCTCAGAGTATTTCTTGGTGGAGGTGCGACGTAAAGTAGTTGACTTAAATTCAGTGATATGCCTCAAAATATACACAGGTATCCCCTGCTTTTCAAAAGTCCTCTTTACACCACTTCACTTTTACTAAAGACCTACATTAGTACCTGTTTTTGCTAATCGAAAGAAATTCAAAGAGAATTTTCATTTTTACTGAAAAAGGCAAGAAGCGAAAATAGCGCTCAGTGTTTGTTTGCAACGAGCCGTTATAGAGGCAGTGGCACCCCGAGCATCCAGCACCGAGCCTAAAGAATGGCCCCATGAAGCTCCTTCATGGAAGCACACTCAGAATCTCAGCATTTAGCGCAAGAGCTCAGCTGAGTCTGTGAGCATCTGTGCATTATCTCGGTTTATTCTGTGCACCTGTTAGCAAGATGTGTCCTCAGGTATTGGTCTTTGGCTTGGCCCCATTTCACCATATGACGGTTTCACAATAAAGTTCTAATTCCAGATAGCCGGGGAATCCTGTGTACCATTAAAGCCCTGAGTATAAAGTGTCAATCACAGGACATTAAAGTTTGTCATTAAACTATATCAGAGGTGGGGGAGGGTGTGAGTGCTGATGAACTATGTGTGGGGGGTATCCACTCACCTCCCAGCCTACGATGGACACTTGCCACCGCGCTATCTTGTCTATGCTTTCCAGCTTGCGTTTGCGCTCATTGATCAAACAGGCTACATTCTTCATGGCCTCGTAGGCTGCCTTTATATTGTTGTAGTCACTGAAAAATAAGAGGTGAATTTTAACCATATGTCACGCAACTCCCAAATGAGTACTGATAATACACTCCCCTCCCTGCTTTGTATACAAATAGTCTAGACAACGTGGCATTTAAACAACAGCCACTGTTCCCTTTTTCTTGTTCCTCCATGAATAGACTACAGTCTGCATAGTTTAAGGGAGCTGACCAACTGCAATCCAGAATTCTTTGGAATAAGAATGTTATCCTTCATTTCCCAGAAATTACCATGAATGAAAGTAAAATGCCACACAAGAAATGTTTTAACCACAGGGACAATGAATGATTTTCATTATTAAAGAAAGGGCAGTCCTTATGGTTGCTTTGATTTGGATGTAGCTAGTTTTGCTAAAGAAAGCACTTTAATAATCACTAACCATTTTCAAGAGTGATGACTTGCTCTGAGTCTTATCTTTCAAGCTGTTCAGGAAAGGACACCAGGGGATAGCCACAGAAGGTTGACTGAGTGAGCGTTTACCTGACATCAATAGATCTTCATTTCTGTGCTTTCCATATGCTACAGTCAAATCAAACTCAAATGCTGGCCACAGCAGGCCCCCGTTCCCAAGGCTTCTGAAAGTATAGGTAGTAAAACATCTAAAACTGGAGGTCTAATTTGCATACAAGCTAAGAGATGCCCGGTACTGGAAACTTTCACATTCAAGCTTTGCTCAGCGTTAATAACTTGGGAACATGTAAACCAACTGTCCAGCGGATGAGCTGAATATTTTACCTTCTAGCACTTGCCTCTGTCTTACAGGACAGACAGAGCCTTTGGACTCAGTGGGACTGAATCAGAGTCCTCCTGTACAGCCAGGAAAAAAGCCTTGGAAGCAGATTCTATTATTTATTTACCAAACACCACTAAACCCAGCTCCCGGGAAGTCTCTGGCAATCTGCCCAGAAGGCAGAGCCTGCTATCTTAGGCCTATTCACACACTGCAGCAGAGCAGAGAAAGGAGAGAAGTCATTCAAGGGGGCTGCCAAAGCCATGGAGCAAAGCCTCCAGGGAGGTCTCCAGCAATGAAGAAAGCAGGCAAGATAATTGTTTTTTCTCTGGCAAGTTTTTCTATGCAATTCCAGAAAAAAAACCACCAAAAACAGAGTGTAATTTTTTTTAAATTTTGTTTTGTTTTACTTAAAACAAGGAAATGGGCTTTTTGTCATTTCCTTTAAAATTATTTTTAAAAAACAGGTCATATCTGCAAATGCCCCATAGTGCAAGTTAACTGTGGAAGGGTGATGAGTGGACTTCTGGCCACAGCTTTTCCATCCTGGAATCTAATCTGCTTGCCCGGATCTTTCCAGATGTCTTTCCTTCTTAATTTTCTTATTTTTTTCCTCTGGTTTCTTATCATGATGCCTTTTTGTTCTTTTTTTAAAAATTTCTTTTTAATTTGTGATTCTTTTGATTTTCTTTTCTTCCCAAACTTTTCTGATATTTCCATCAGAAAGAGAAATATAGCTCTTTCATTTATTTCAATAAGCTTCCCTCTCTTAGCTCTGTAATCCTAACCCTTTAAACACGCATATCTAGGGTTAAGTGTTCAGCCACCTAAGCTCTTGTTCTCTTCCTACCTTCCAATCTAATTGTAAAAAGACTCCTTTTTCAAGTCCTTTCTCTCCACAGGAGTCCAATGGCAGAGAGAGCAAAGAATGATCTATTTTGGGCACCCTGCAGGCCCAAGCACTGCCATGGAGAATGTGATTGCTTTCAGAACAATAGTTGCTAAAACCCAAAATAGTTGTGGTTTGCTACAGCAGATTTCCTCTGGGTACAATCTTTTCCCTCTCCCCATTCCCACTAGAATACTTCAAGATGGTCCTTTCAAGGGCTGCAGGTGTCATGAAAGCTTTGTGATCTGAAACAGTCAGCTGTATCCTAAATACTCACCTGGTAACGGTTGTGTCCCCACCAGCACTTCAGTTCTGCTGAAGTAAGCAATGACCCAACTGCTGTCACCTAAAGGCACCAAACAGCTGGGTCTTGCTGTGGTGACATGGTCCAGGACAGTGGATGTGCTCATCCAGTACTGGATGAGTGATACCTTACATACAAGCACAGCATGATTATACCTTGTTCTGTGCATGCAGGAAAAACGATGCGTTGCTATTAAGCAAGCAATGAAGAACTTTTGGCTCCCTCAGAACTTAGCCACAAAGTAAGCCCCAAAGGGAGATGGAAAGTGCAGGCAGCCAATCACGTGAAACCCTGTGCTGGAAGGAGAGGAGATGGGTAGAACAGACTCTGGAGACAGAGCAAGCACCCGGGCTGAGCAAGAAAGGGCTGAGAGCCGAATGGGATCTCTGTGAGATGTGTCTCCCAAGTGGACTCCACACGCTACTCTAGGCCTTGAGATTCCCTACTTTTTTATAGCTCAAATTTTTCTATGTCCTCAATCCTTCTATAGAATAATGTTTTGTTGGCAGTAAATAACACTGCTCTGAGGGTGAGTTAATGGGAAGCAATTAAAGGAGTACAAGAGAGAAAAGAAAATACTTCTTACACTGTATTCAATTGGTCTATTTTTAAAAAATTGTTATTATTAACTACTGAGTAGCTAAAAAAGAGTATTTACAAAATATGTCAACGAGAAGGATCAACACCACAATAAAAGTCTCCATGTGCTCAGAATACAGATTAAGAAATATTCTTTTTTCTTTTTAAAAAATTGATTTGAGAGAGAAACATCAATTTGTTGTTCCATTTATTTATGCATTCACTGTTTGATTCTTGTATGTGCCCTGACCGAAGATCAAACTCACAACCTTGACATATTGGGAATATGCTCTAACCAGGGCCCAAGTAATTTCTTATTTTTTAAATATCTCTAAGAATGGATATTCTGGAGCTCCAAAAACCCTGTTTTATTTTATTTTATTGTTTTAAAAATTTGTCCTTACTGACTTCAAAGAGAGGAAGGGAGAGGGAGAGATAGAAACATCAATGATGAGTCATTGATCGGCTGCCTCCTGTACGCCCCCTACTGGGGTTGAGCCCAAAATCTGGGCATGTGCCTTGACTGGGAATCAAATCTCCATCTCCTAGATCCTAGGTCAATGCTCAACCACTGAACCACAACCTATTTCAGTAGTTAGCCATCATAAAGATTTTCAACAATCTGAAAACTTCTTCCACAGAGGAAACAAAAGTGACAAGCCTGACCCCTGAGCCCGTCTGTCACTGCCATCCTGGGAAGCTCTGGGGAGAGCTGAAGGACTCAGCATGTGTGGAAAGCACGGGCCTTGCTTCCGTGTGGCCTCTCTCACCTGTGCTCCTGCGTGGTGTACTTGAGCAGCTCGGCCAGCTGCAGAGGGTATTTGCAGATCTTCTGCACAGGCGTAAGCAGGAAGCCATCAATGGCGATGTCGATCATCTGCTGCAGCAGGCGGCAGGCCTCGAAGAAGTGCCGGTACCTGCCCTGCTTCATCAGGCTGGACAGCTCCACACAGGCGCCCGGGTGGTTGTTACAGTACTCGGAATAGATGGCAAAGCCCTCTTGCTGGGGAAGGGAAAGCACAATGTCATCAGGCTATGGGGGGCTGTGGGCTGAGACAATGACAGGCAACACCCAGTCCTATGTAAGGGGACATTCCTGGGAGGAGGGAGATGGCGTCCCAAGTCCTGCAATCTTGCCTGGGCAAGAGGCCCAGATCTTCTCTGTGGGAAGGGGCATTTGCAAACACTCCAGGGGATTCTTATCTCTTGGGGGGAACAGGGAGAGGCTGTGCTAGTACTCAGAGCCCTGGTCCCCTTCACGGCAGCCTTCCACAGACCTTAAAAAGGTGTGTCACCGGGGAATGGGCACCCTCTGCAGTCACCCTCCTCACCTCAGCTCTGATCTAAGAGATGAAGGTGCTGTTCTTATGCCCAACTGGCTCCTTCCTTGTGCTCTTTACTTTCCCTGATAAACACCGTGACCAAGAGGTGAGGATTCAAAGCCACCGCCTCCTCACCACAAGTCTTCTCCTTAACATCCCACCACCTGGCTTCCACACACATCCCCCACCAACCTCCAAAGGCAAGCCCTTCACTCACTTCCTTTCTCCTTGGGTCACTTCCAGGCTGCGGCCACCCTGCCAGCTTCTCCGCGATGCCTGCCCTTTGCCCTTCTCCTAGACTCTGCAGAGCCCACTCCGGCCCTCCCTCTATCCCTCCGTGTGCTGTGGGCCTCCCTGTACACCCCCAGGAGCAGGCTTGCCCGCCCAGTTTTTGGGCCTCTGCTCCCCACTTCATGGTCACAAATGTCTGTTTCCTTTCTGGCCATGCCCACTCCAAAGTTTATACACAGGCATGCTCAAACTCAACACATCCACAACCAAACTCCTATTTCACTAGAAGGCAGGTTTTCCTAACCTACCTGTTAATTCAGACTCAAAACTCTGCGAGTGGTTCTGATGGCTGCTTTTCTTTGCTACCTATGACTAGTCTTGTCAGTTTGTCTTCAAAATACCCATCTCAACAAGTCTGTCTTTCTGTGTTTCCACTGCCACCACCCTTGCCCAGGCCCAGAAGCAGCAACTCCTCTGCTCCGAAGCTAAACTCTCCTGTCCTCCAGGCGAGATCCACCTTCTGGATTCCTCCCCATCAGGCACTGCTCCCTCTGCAGCCTGACCTTCAGTGACCTCCGAAACTTCTCTCTTAAGCTCCATGAACCTTGTACTCTGGCCAGGCAGGTCTTCTACAAAGTCCCACACAGGACAGTGCCGTAACGGGGTCAGCCTTCCTACCTGCATTACCCCCACAGCATTTTTTTCAGCTACTTGAAAGCAATCACCCTGGGGACCTGCTCACTCCACTGCCTCTACAAGCTATTGGCCCAGCACCCAGCACGTGCTGCCAAGGGGGTGGTAGTGGTTGTCACTGCCATTATTATTACTTTTATTATGCCCTGGCCATTTTAGCTGAGAATAAAATCTTCCTCTAAAATCTTTTAGTATTAAGTAGTGACAGTCAATCATCAGTTAAATGATAAGCTCATGTCACCATCAAGAGATTATCCTGAAGCAGTTACAGTGGTCACAGGCATAGGTCCCAGAGCCACACACCTCGGTCTGACTTCCCATCTGCCACTTACTAATGTGTGACCCTGAGTCAGTTACTCTCTGGGCTTCAGGTTCCTCATCTGTAAAATGAGGACAATAATCATACCTCCCTCACAGGAGTATAGGAGCTAATACAAGACGATCCTGAAAACAGTGCCTAACATATAATAGACAATTAATAGACATTATTAAAAATTACTCCAAACTGCATAAAAGTGGGAATATTTTGAAAAAATGGACTTACGGTATTTAGCTAAAGTTTAACCATATAAACCAATCAACTTACTTTACAAGTGACATCTCCATTCTACGGGAAATTAGTCTAGCAAACAAAGTAACAAAAGGACTCCTATTTTTAGTGAAGAAACATTTCAAAATTATTTAACCAGGTGCTATCAATAAGAAGTAACAGGTGACAGGTGACGTACATGTTGAAGAAAGCAGGATCCTATTTCACTTAAATGAGGTTCCTCTTTATTGTACTGTTTCTCAAGGTCTTTCAGGAACTTTCTTTGGAATTTGTAAATATCTTCAATGTTTCCAAAAATGGTGGCTAGCTGTGCAACTGTGAACATTCCCGTGTGCTTGCGACACTGTCGAATATAGCCCTACAAAAGAGAACGTAAGCTTTTAAAAACGAATTTGGAAAGTCATAGAATTATTTCTTTGAATAATACAGTATTTGGGCCCAAAGCCATTGTCTTGGAGTAGATTTTAATTAGAGAGAATTATTTTAACCTCTCTGGGTCTCTGATGGGATAATCATACTTCCAGGACTACAATGTGCCCTATTTTAAAAACAAAAGGAAAGCGAAAAGATGTGTGTGACTGGATTTATCATTCAAGAAACTGTATCAAGTTTCCAGATTATACTGATGAAATGAGTTGCTTGGTTTCAAATACTTGCTCAAAACTGGCAATGGTATATATTTTCTAAGCTCTTCAGGTAATCATTCTCCTATCCCTGATTCTCACAGTCGGGAAGACTTGTCAAATACCGAATGCCAGAACTTGCTAAACAGCTCATGTAGCTCTGTTCACTGTCATGGCCAAGAGCCAAGAACTTCTTACCCGGGTTCCACCTTCACCTACTTTCTATATATGGCATAAATCTATAGATCTTTAACCCGAGGCCTGCACTAGTTAGGAACTATTAATTATCCACCCTGTTTGTACTATGGCTTAGGTAGGAGTTATCAAGGTGTGAAGGAAAGGGCGTAAGTTATGTAATAATTATTCCCAAATGAGCATCATGCAGTTACAGACTAGACTGACTATATGGTGAAATCCCATCATTGACTATTTGGTATGAATTTTAATAGAAAGACAATGTAACGGTTCAGGGTATAGGCTCTGGGGCAGACTGCCTGGTTTAAAACCCAACCCCACCACTTAACTTCTCTGTGCCCCAGTTTCCTGATCTGCAATATGGGGCTAAGAGGACCTGCCTAGTGAGAGTGTTGTGAGAGTAAAATGAGTTAATGCAGGTAAAGGAATGGCACATAGTCCATGCTCAACAATTATTAGCAATTACTTTTATTTTCCTAAAATGTCACTTTAAAGAAACTGCCTTAGCCATATATACATACAGAACAGGGTCACTGACACAAATAAGCTAAACACTGGTATAGATATATCTGGCCAGTTAATCCAGTTACAAAATGTGTAGTGGCCTCACTTCAGCTGGTCTTCAGTGCTGAATCGCCTCAGCTGAACCAAGAATGCAGAGGTCAGCACTTGAGGCAAGACAGCTGGGATGACCACCAGGCAAGCAGCAGTTTGGTGTAATGCTCACACAAAACCCAGGAAAACAAAAAAATACCACAGGAGAAATAAAATGTTTGTACAGCAGAACTATCATGACGCTGTAGAATACAACCTTGGCTGTCACTAGATAAAACCAGTTTTTGTTTGTTTTTGTCTACATCTCAATGACTCAGAATCTCGGCTGTAAGACAGTGGTTAGAGGCAGTGGGCTGTAGACAGTGACAAACCTTTGAATTAAGTAGGTTTCACCTATAGGGTGTTGACTTCTCTAAAAGTCACCTACTCTGAATAGTCTCAGAGTTCAGTCCTGAAAGAGATAATGGCATCATGCCCTGAAAAGAGAACTTGCTCCAACAGCAGAGGATAGGCATCTATGCCCACCAGGGGAGACATGTACTTAATGAGTGAGCAGCGTGTGGAGGGGCCAGAGGAGTAGGAAGAGGCGAGAAATGAGGGCTCTAGAAAAATATGTAAATAGGAGGGTCTGACTGGAGACAGAAGAAAACCATGTGGGCACATCAGAGTCACATGACCACCTCAGTGAGGCCCCATGCCTGGCTTCCTACCTCACAGATGTCCTTGAGGTGCTTGATGTAAACGCGCTCAGTGTTCATGATCTCCTGGATGACATTTGTCCGCATCTGCTGCTTGCTCTCAGGGTGCTTGTGGCGGGTCTTGCCGGCATCCTCCTCCTGCTCCTCACCCTGTGTGCTGCCGGAGTTCTCTGACAGCTCTTCCTGATTGACTCGCAACTGCACGCACAGAGGGGACAAGGGACGTGGGGAGGCAGCACCGGACCCAGGCAGGGGCCCTCCCTGGTCCCCCACACTATCCCAGCAGCTCAAAACACTGCAGTGGTGCCAAACTCGTCACCTTAGTGAAAAGTTTCCCTTCGACCCAATAGCATGTCTAAAAGGCTCAACTGAAACAATTAAAAAGAACTCAACATGTACGAGAGCGAGTCTGGCCTGACCCGCTCTGCGGCTCCCACAGCAGCAGGGGTGAGGAGTGCAGGGCACCAACACTTACTCGGACAAAGCTTGCAGGGAACCAGGCCTCCTTGTCCTCGTTCCGGCCCCACCACCAGTCCTTGTTAGATGCTTCCAGAACCTGGATGACATCTCCTGCCTTGAAGCCCAGTTCCTGGTCATCCATGGTCACGTGGTCCCATAAGGCTTCTGCACAGACCACACTGCCATCGCTGATCAGCTAAAATGGAGACACGGGGGCGTGCTTAGTGCAAAAGCCAGGGGGCAGCACAGGGGCAGGGTGGGAGAGGGGGCGTCTGTGTGCTATCTCAGGGTGAGAGGCACATCTAGTTCTCATTTGTATACACCAACAGCTTTGGGTAAATACTAATTGTTACACAAAATGAACGGAGAAAAACATTAGGGAAAAAGAGAATCAGGTGAGCCTCTCATATGATCTTAAAGGAAACCCCAAATCCACTTTCAAAAAAAGCAAAAATAGTTGACTTATCTGTAGATCACATTAACTAACAAATGTGAATATCTTGAATATTCACCCCAAAAATGGTCTCTGAGATGCCAAGCAAGATGTTGCCGAGCCAAACCTCCAAAGGTCACCCATGTGCTTAACCACAAGACCCTCCGCTTCACCCAGAACTCAGTATTCATACTTAATTCACAATTTGAATAAACTTTATAGTTTACTACAGTCAAAGAGAAAACAGCATGATCTCAGGATATTTAACAGTTAATGATAAAAGTAAAGAACAGACACAGCTCATCTTAGTCCAGTGCAGGGGCAGAAGATTACACATCAGCTCAGCTCCCAGGGACACCATCAGGTTCTAGAGAAACGGGGGATGACATTAACGGGACACTAACTCACTGAGATGTCACACTCCACATGCTCTGTTCAAGAACTCCAAAGCCAGTGGTGCCTTCTAGAAAGATTGCTGTAAAAAAGGCTAAAGGTGCAGACTGGTAGAAAGAATACCAGATCCCCAGTGAAAAATATGTGGTTAATGCCAGCTCTGCCCCTTACAACAAGTAATTTAGCCTCTTAATTTCAGAGTACTTGTTAAAATATGGATGATAACTGTAACATTCATCTCTTAGATAAGCTGTGAGATTTATGATAAAGGGAGAGCATGTCAGAAACCGAACAGCTCTGCCCAACGCTAACGACTGCTGCTTTAATCACATAAAGGGAGGAACTTAATCACATAAGTTGTCCTTGAAAATGCAAGAAACTCAGTTTTCTAGTCAAAGTGCTAGGTTTTAGGATGTGTAATAAGAAATAATCAGAGAGCAAAATCTGAAGTGATGCTGGTCCCTGAAGACCTTTTGTCATGTATGGGATCCCCATACCTCATTGATGGCCAGCTGCTCCCCACCTGGCTGCAGGTATCTGGGGTTGGCCTGACAGAGATCTTCATAGCTGTAGTCCTCCTCACTGCCGTTGTCGTCCACTAAGGCACAGGACTCAGTGCCACCATCTGAAGAAACTTAAAAAAAAAGGGAGGGCATGGTTTAAAAGACACAGCTAATGAACATTTTAAGTGACAAACTAAAGGATAGAGAACACACACACCCTCCAAGGGAAAGTAATCCTTTTTATCTTACCCAGAATAACAAATCATTAGAAAGTTTCTACTGATCTATTAATCCAAGGACTGATGCTAAGAAGAGCTGGGGTTAAGGGTTGCATTAAATTGAAAAGGGAACATTTCAGAGAGTACTGCCAAGTGGTTATTAAAAATATAGATAATAATTCTAAGCAACATGTTGATAAAGCTTAAGGAAGAAAAGGAAATGAAAAATATAATCATTTTTTAAGAAGTATTCTGCTTCCATCTTCACCTGCAAAGCAGTAGCATCACTAAAATCCAAAGGTCCTAGTAATATCATTAAGTGAAAACATGTAGCCATTTTTACTAGTTTTCCACAGGTGAAAGGGTTGGAACTCATAATATCAGAATTGGGAATTTACCAAAAAAGAGAGAAAGGCCTTTTAAGGATGGGTATAACATTTTGGCTTAACCACCTTGGTGTTCGGATTTTCTTTCTTGGGACAGTGGGTTCTTCTCACCAAGGCTATTCCGTCATTGAGTGAACGGAATTTTAAGAAAACACAACAGAACAACCCTTGTGAAGAGGACAGGGAAAGGCTTCATGGAACAAAACTAGGCATTGGCAGTGGGGTTGCTCTTTTAGGTTGAGTAAGGGAGTGACAGGTTTTGAATGGAGGTCCCCTAGCACTACAGAAAGAGAGCAAGGCTTAGAGTCACAGAGGCCTGATTTGAATTTTAGCCCTGTCCCTTGAAGGCAGGAGACTCTAACCATGCAATGTAATTTCTCTGAACTTTACACTCTTGTTGTAAAACGTATTTTCTTTCTTTCTGGAGAATTAAGTGCGATCATGTGTGTTGAGCTCCTAGCATCCTGCATTCACAGTTGGAACTCACTAAAAGAGAGTTACTGTGGTGATGGCAGCGAGGGTGGCAGGAGCAGGGCTGCGCAGCAGAGACTGGATCCAGGGAAGCCAGGTGGGAGGTGCATCTGGGAAATGGCCACAGGAAATGAAATGTAGAATGGTGTGCAGGTTGAGCTGATGTGTGGAGCAACAAAGAAGATAAAGCAACAATGATTCGAAAAGTCCCAAGGTACTGGGATAATTAAGAAAAGGAAGTTAGATGCCAGTATGGTGAGAAGGGTGAAGGCTGGTTTAGGACTGCAGTGGGAGGGAGCTGTCTGCCCTTGCTTTTATCAAGGACTTATGATTCTGAATTTCTAATAATTTACTATTAGGAAACAGGTCTACTTTCTAAACAGAACTTTCTTCCTTTGTTTTAATCCTTACCCAAGGATATGCTTTTTATTGATTTTAGAGAGAGAGGAAGGGAGAGAAAAATCAACGTGTGAGAGAAACATCTTTGGGTTGCCTCCTGCGCACGCCCCCACTGAGGATAACTGACCGATAACTGAACCCACAACCTTTCAGAGTATGGCATGACGCTCCAACCAACTGAGCCACACTGGCCAGGGCAGAACAACTTTCTTTTTTAAATTATGTTTTCTATTCTTTATTTTGTACTAAGTCTTCAAAATCTGATGGGCATTTTACATTTGCAGCCTGGCCCATCTAGACGAGCACATTTCAGGTGCTCCACACCCATAGCCACCATGGCTTTCCTCCCCCAGCTCTTCAGCTATGCTGTTGTCTTGAACAACTTTTTTAAAGCAGCATGTTTTTATTTTTTGTTGTTTTTTTTTAAATATATCTTTATTGATTTCAGAGAGAGGAAAGGAGAGGGAGAGNTTTATTGATTTCAGAGAGAGGAAGGAAGAGGGAGAGAGAGAGAGAAACATAAATGATGAGAGAGTCATTGATCGGCTACCTCCTGCACGCCCCCAAACAGGGATTGAGCCCGCGACCTGGGCATGTGCCCTGACTGGGAATCTAACCCTGATCTCCTGGATCCTAGGCTGATGCTCAACCGTTGAGCCACGCCCAGCTGGGCTAAAGCAGCATGTTTTGTAAACAGAGCCTAGAATTCTTTTTTTTTAAATATATCTTTATTGATTTCAGAGAGAGGAAAGGAGAGGGAGAGAGAGAGATAGAAACATCAATGATGAGAGTCATCGATCAAGCCCACAACCGGGCATGTGCCCTGACCGGGAATCGAACCCTGATCGCCTGGATCCCAGGTCGACGCTCAACCGCTGAGCCAAGCCCGGCAGGGCCAGAGCCTAGAATTCTTACACTAAAACAGCAAACACCATTGAAAAAGATTTGCAACAATGGAAGGTAATAAGCATTGTGAAAATAAACTCTATGAATATATTTCAAGCACTGGATTCTTAAGTTTCCCTTGCCAAGCACAGATAGGACCATGATGATGCTGAGAGAGATGAGGAACACTTGAAGTGCATGGCAGGAAGACAGACGGCCAGCGCACTGTCCACAAGCTGGCTCTACTCTTCCCCAGATGCCCGTCCTCTGTGCCTGAGCTCTGGACAGAGCACCTCTTGGCAATGCCCAACAAGCCAGGTCTCTACAAGGGGGCGATGCTTTACACAAGCTCTCCCACAGCCTGGGGTGCTCCTCTGCACCCCACACCCCAGCTGCAGTCACCTCCTCTTCAGAATAGCTCCTCCAGCCCTTCCTTCTATCGCAGCACTTGCATGGTAAAGCATAACCCACCAGTTCCATGTCTATGTCCAGTTAGGCCAGTCTGGACATTGGCACAGTCAGTGAACTTGGGATGTGCTGATGACTAAGCAGCTGAGCTGGTGCTTTTGGAGGACAGGAGGGTTCTTGGCTCAGACCACATGGTGCCTGACACCCTCTTGTACCTCACTATACCCTCTCTGTTCATCTTACTCAGGAAAGATCAGGGCCTGTGTGTCCAAGAGGTAAAAGTGAAAGTGAGCTGCCTCAGGGAGGAAGAAATTGCAGCAAACAAATGTTCTGGAACCTGACCAAAAGTCAAAAAGCAGACGAAAGCTCTCCAGACACCTAGCACTGCCTTCTAGGCCCCCCAGCTTGTTTACCAACTCACCGAGAGAGGCAGCACCTGGCCCACAGCACTGCTGATAGTCCAGGTGAGGGGAGTGCAGGTGGGCAGCAGAGAGCCAGCTGTGTGTGTGCATGCATGTGTTTGTCCTGATAGGGGCTGATGCCACATACCAGGACCCTCTCTCTCAGGGGGCTTCCCTCAGGAGCACAAAGCTGGTGGTGCTGCTGCTGCCCAGTACTAGGGGTTTTGGGTAGGGGTCTTGAGAAATTCAGGCCACCTTGAGAAGGGTGCATGAGCCTGGATAAGACCTGGTGACTCCCACCTCCTATGCTACAGTGAGTGCCTGCAGACAGAGAACACAAGGCTACCTGGTCTAGTGCAC